CTGGGACTTTTTTTTGAGACACAGTCTCACTCTGTCACTCAGGCTGGAGTGCAGTGGCATGATCAAGTTCACTGCAGCCTCCAACTCCTGGGCTAAATCAGTCCTCCCACCTCAGCCTCTCAAGTAGGTGGGTCTATAGGTATGTGCCACTACCCTGGCTAATTTTTTAAATTTTTTGTAGAGGTGGAGTCTTCCTATATTGCCCAGACTGGTATTGAACTACTAGCCTCAAGCAATCCTCCCACCTTGGCCTCCCAAAGTGCTGGCATTACAGGCTTGAGCCACTGTGCCTGGCCTATGATTAGTATTAATACTTTTACCCCGTAATATTCTGAAATTAAAAAAAATACTTTTAAATTTCTTGAGAAACCTTTTCCTTCTTAGAGGCCACAAAAAATTCTTCCATATAATCTTCTGTAAGCTTATTGTTCTGTTCCCATTTCTAACACTCTTAGAGTTGATGTGTGTGTGTGTGTGTTCGTGTATGAAGTGCTCAATTTTATCTTTTTCCATGTGGATATGTGAACATTTGTCCCAAAACTCCTGGGCTCAAGCAATCCTCCTGCCTCAGCCTCCCAAGTAGCTGGGACTATAGACATGCGCCACCACACCTGGCTAATTTTTTCTATTTTTGGTAGAGATGGGGTCTCACTCTTGCTCAGCCTGGTCTCTAACTCCTAACCTCAAGTGACCCTCTCCCCTTGGCCTCCCAGAGTTACAGGATTGCAGGCATGAGCCACCGCACCAACCCCTTTCCCCTATTGTTGTCAACTAAATAATCTCTCCTTTCTCCGCTAATGTGTGATGTCATCTTCATATACTGATAACAGATGTCTGTGTCTGTTTTTGAGCTCTCGATTCTGTGTTATCTGTACCTGCACCAAAGTGACTATTCTATTTACTATCGATTTATAGTGTGCCTTAATGTTAAGTGAATTTTCTCTGTAGGTTTTTGGGAAGATAACCTTTATCAGAATGAAAAATTCCCTTCTCTTTTTAGTTTTCTAGGATTTATCTTTGATTGCCTCTTAATTATAAATGAATTTTT